CTATGAACTCAATAAAAAAAAATGTAGGAACCTATATGGTTAAGCCTTATTTTTCAGTTAGTCCCAAATGCGAATTAGTTTCAGATCCTTTGAGCTGTTAGGCTCTTGGGAAACAGGCTCCAAGGAGTGCAAGGAGGGGCCACGAAGGTTCTTTGAATTAGCCTTCAGCTATTGCTCTCAACCTGGGGAACTCCGAAAAATACAAATTCTTGGGCCTTACTCTTCAAAATTCTGGTCTGACAGGTCTGGGGTGTGGTCTGGGCATCTGCCTCATAAACTCCTCAAGTGATCCTGACACCCCATTGAAGTGTTGCAGCCGCTGACTAGAGCGTGTTGCTTTTCCTTAGCAGAGAGCATCTTTGCGCTGACTGCTTGAAAGGGGGTCCTAAGCCCGAATGGGTGACAGGCCTGGGCGGGATCCAGCAGTGGGGGCTTGTTTTGAGATGGAGCTCTGTGTGAAAACGGGAGCTGTCTTTATAGAGAGTTTCTGGCCAGTGTGGGCTACTCACCTGCGGGATAATTTCTGCTGCCATTATGGATAGGCGGAGATTTCTTACCACTTTGGAGGCCTCCTTTGGGTGTGCCAAGCTGAGTGATATTTAGGCTCTGCGCTGTGCAGAGCAGCTGGGGAGAGGAGGAGCCAGCGGCTGGCAGCTGGCCCCGAAATTAGCGTCGGTGTGTAAATACATCGGTACCTAAAAACCAGCAGCTTTGGCGCCTTTTGTCACACCTCCTACCCAGTGACTGTTGTGCCTGCTGTTTGTACGTTGGTCCTTTCATCAGGGCTTCTTTGAGGCTTGTGGTCCCCAGGTTTCTCCAGTATAGAAATAAATTTCCCCTGCGTAGAAACACTTGGTGGGGGAAGGGAGTCTTGAACCAAGTTATTCGGTAATCTCCCTGGGGATGGGCTGTTCACTGCCTTGCTCCTTTCATTTCCCCCACAATATCCATGCAGCAAAAACTAGGACAGGCTCAGCCCTCTCTCTGGATCATTATAGTTTGGAGGGTTTGCGCAGGCTGGGTGTAGACGGAGGAAAGGATCCTGATTTAGAGCAGATGTGCTCTCCTTAGGTAACCTAAGCTTGAGGTACCAAAGGGAAACTTGTGAATCACTCGGGTCCTGGAACTGTGCCTCTGAGGGTCTGTTTTCCTGACAACCACCTTCCTTCCTCTGCGACCCCATCCCCACCCCAGGCCTCAGGAGAAGAGGCGATTATAAACTTGCGCCAAGGGGGAATTCCCCCAGGGCAAGTTCAGGAGAGCCAGAGCGGTTCTGCCTTCTGCCCCAGCTGCCTGCCAGGTGGGGGTGTCAGTGTGGCTAGCCGAGTGGCCTCAGAGATGTCATACTTCCGCCACTCTTCTGCCACTGTCTGAAGAACTGGTGTCCTTCCATCTGTGCTTTTAAAAAACACATCCCTCGGAGGGCCCAGGGACACATCCTGAACCCTTGGAGGGGGACTGTGGCATGTTTGTCACTGTATCCTGTGGGTCTTGGCACATAGTGAGTACTTTAAAATCTTTGTTGAGGGGCTGGCCGGTGGCGCAGTGGTTAAGTGTGCTCCTTCTGCTTTGGCAGCCCGGGGTGCCCCAGTTTGGATCCCAGGTGCAGACATGGCACCGCTTGGCAAGCCATGCTGTGGTAGGCATCCCACATATAAAGTAGAGGAAGATGGGCACCGGTGTTAGCTCAGGGCCAGTCTTCCTCAGCAAAAAGAGGAGGATTGGCAGATGTTAGCTCAGGGCTAATCTTCCTCGGAAAAAGAAAAACAAAACAAAACAAAACTTTGTTGAATAAATGGTAATGAACATTCCACATTCTGGTTCTGGGCAAATTAAGCCTGATTATTTTTGCATTTCTTAGCTGGCAAGCTTTCCTCCTTATCTCAGCAGCAGCCTTCATGCCCTCCCATTCCCCTTAAAGTCCAAGTCTGGGCCCTTGGAGGTGGACTGTAACTATCGCCGTATGGCTTTAATGAAAGATTGCAGCCTGTCACCGTGGAGACACGTGGCTACAAGTCTGACTTTTCATTTTACCTGTTTTTTCTTAACAGTTCTTCACCCACCACTGACAAGCTGAGGCTTGGAAAATGCTCCTTGAATAAGCCAGAGTGTCACCAACACCAGCAGGGTCAGCTCCAGTCCCAGCCTCCCATCAAGCTTCTTGGACCAAGGCCAGGTGCAGGCACACTTTATCTGTAGGATGGGGACAAAAATACCACTTCATTTGCGGTGAGGAGACAAATGTATTTAACAATTCAGATAGCATCGTGGCTGAGTGTGGGCTCAGGATCCAGCTGCCTGGGCGTGGATACCGGCTCCGTGACTTCTGAGCCACGTGACCTTGAGCAAGTGACTTAATTTCTCAGTGCCTCAGTTTCCACCACGGTCAAATCAGGTTCAAAACAGTACCTACCACGGGGGATTGTTGTGAGAAATAAATAAAGTTACATGTACAGGGTGAGATCAGAGCTTGGCACAGAGTGAGGGGCAGGAAGTGTTAGCTCTGAACTGAGAGAGACGCTCGTCGGATGATTGTATTCAGTGATCATTATCATTCGGCCTAATTGGAATTTCGTCTATTTTTCCCACTCTCCTGCCCAAGCAACAGTCTGAACTGCAGCTAGTGTTTTGACTTTCGCATTTAGAATGTGCTTAAAGTCCAGAGTGGACAAGAGTAATGGAGCATTTCATTACTTTTTCCCTTTTAGAAACAGAAAAAGGAAAATTCTGTTTTTTGAGTTGAAACGGTGCAGAGGAGCTGTCAGCAGACTGGAGGCTTGCTGGATGAGTTTTTGATCTGGGTTAGGAAGAATATGTCTATTTTCTCTGTAAAGAGATAATAGATAGTAAATAATCATAATTTGTGGCCACCATCTTCTTGTTTCATGTTTTTCTCTTTATTTCATATTTTTTTGTGGGGGAGAAATATATCATGTACACAAAAGACACTATCTTTTGTAACATATATAAACTATTTATAACATATATAAACAGTTTAAAGCAGAAGTTGGCAAACTATAGCCTGTGAACCAAATTTGGCTATGACCTCTTTTTATAGGACCTATGAGCTAAGAATGATTTTACATTCTTAAAGGTTGTAAAAAAAACCCCAAAGAACAAGATATAAGAAAGATGGTAGATGGCCCTAAAATGTTTACTATCTTGACCTTAACAGAAAAAGTACATCAACCTCCGGTTTAAAGAATAATAATAAATCACCCCTCCTCCACCTCCATCTGTCTTATGAAACAGAACGTCGCTAACATCACTGAAACTTGTGAGCACCCCTTCCTGACCGCCTCCAAGGCTCTCCCCCAGAGCTAACTGCTCTTCTGAATTTTATGTTATTCATTCCTTTGCTTAAAATTTTTAAAATATAAACATATATATAAATATGCAAGACATTGTTTATTTTGGGTTTTTTTGCCCTCTGTATAAATGAAATAATACTCTCTATTTTTTCCATTACATGCCATATTCTCTTAATATTATCTTTTTTTTTAACATTAAGTTTTGAGAGTCATCCAGGTAGATGTATGCAGCTGTAGTTTGTTAATTTTTCCTGCTTTTAGCATCTTTGTGTGTGCAGATACCATGCATATTTATCTGTTCTACTCCTGATGGACATTTGAGTTGTTTCCTGTTTTTCTTTTTTTTTTTGGTGAGGAAGATTGTCACTGAGTTAACATTTGTGCCAATATTCCTCTATTTTGTATGTGGGATGCCACCACAGCATGGCTTGATAAGCGGTGTGCAGGTCCATCCCCAGGATCTGAACCCACGAACCCTGGGCTGCCGAAGCGGAGTGCACAAACTTAGCCACTACACCACTGGGGCTGGCCCCCCTGTTTTTTTTCTCTTATAAACACTTGTTATCAGCATTTTTATCCCTATTTCATGGTCTATATGTGCAAGAGAGTCCATAGAAATGGAATCGTTGGGCATTGGTATATGTATCTTCAGCTGTACAAAATGATGCCAAATGGCTTTCCAAAGTGATTGCACCAATTTCATTCTATTGCAGTTCACTAATGCTGTGTAACATACCACCCCAAGTTGAGTGGCTTAACACAACAATATTATTTTGCTCGTGGTTTTGTGAGTCAAGAATTTGGGAAGAACTCGGTTGAGTAAGTTGTCTCTGCTCCAGGTGGTGTAAGCCGAGGCTGCTGGGGCTGGAGGGTCTGCCTCTCGGATGCCTTCTTTGTTCACATATCTACATCTTGATGCTCTTCCGTCTCTCTCTCCACACAGCATCTCCCCCTCCAGGGCTTTTCCACATGGCTTGAGGTTCTCACAAACTGGTAGCGTCAGGATACTCTGACTTCTTATATGGTGGCTCAGGGTTCTAAGAACATATGTTTCAAGAGTTTGGAAGTGGCAGCTGGCAGTCTCTTAAGGCCTGGACCTAGAAACTAGCATAACATCATTTCTGCCACATGCCATGGGTCAAAGTCACACAGCCTGCCCAGAATCAAAGGGAGAGGACATAGGTCCCCCAAATATTTGGGGGAGAAATATACTAGACAGCAATAATTTGTTGCCACCATCTTTAATCTGCCATACATTTCCTGTAGTCCGAGACGGGAGGTCCTGTTGCTACACATCCTTGTAAACACTTAGTATTGTCAAACTTTAAACTATTTGCCAATCTGGTGATGAAAAGATAGCAATATTTTTGAACACCATTTATTGAATATTTACTGTGTGTCAGGCATTGTGCTAAATGCTTTGCGTTTTTTTCTCTCATTTTAATCTTAACTACAACCATGTGAAGTAGATACTATCCCCCTCAGAGAGCTTAATTAACTTGCCAAGGGTCAGAGAGCTAATAAGTAGCAGAATGTAGATTTGAACAGAGATCTCCCTGACTTTCACACGCATGTATTTAATTTTTCCTGCCTGACCCAGAATGTGAGCTGAGATGGCGATTTGAGGCAGAGGTTGAACTATGAAGAAAATGCAAGACATTAATGATGATTAAATAATACACAAAGTAATAAGAAAGAAAATACGACAAAAATTTTATTCATCTAACTTGGGGGCACCATTTCTCCCTTTCTCCATCAAGCAATGAAAAATATTTACTTGACTCCAAAAGTGAAAAACAAGAAACAAAAGAAAAAGAAAAAGAAAAAAAGAAACAACAAAGAAAAGAAACTTTTTAACACTTGACAGGAATCCATATTACAGTTTTCGGAGAGGAGCTGGAGCTGGCCTCACGGTGCATGGAGCCTGGAGGGAGAAGCAGATGCATTCCTGTCATCTAAATCAGAGCAATGGTGCACTTCTGTGATTTGACCAGCCCAGAAGGGAAGGACAAAAATGCTCTTGCCACAGGAGATTTTGAATTACACTTACCTTCCAGCCTGAATCAGAATCCCACTGGTCAATTTTCTATTCTCCGTTGTTCCTTTTCCCAATGAACAAGAACAAGGCTGGTGCCACATCAGCATGTCATTCACCAGCCAGACATTTACAATGAAAAATCCGCTTTTCCAGAGTGTGAGGATTCCCAGGGCAGGAGCCAAAGCCTCTCGAATTCACACGGAGACATCTCACGGTTACAGAGCTTCAAGACCTAACACGCCCCGCCCCCATTTAGTTCGTGGATTGGTTCCCTTGTCCTTGAGGAGAATACGTTTTCTTGGATCCACTTCTTGGATACCGAGTTCAAGTCAAAACTGATTTCCATAGGCAAGTTAGTTGTTTAACATCTGGGGTTCCAGATTCCAAATCATTTGGAATCCTTTCTTAGATACACCTTTCTTTCCCCCGACTTCATTCCTTTTCGTTGACTGAAGTAATCTTCCTACTCCTTCTTTCCTCAGCCTGTGCTTTTCTAGGCACCTCTCTTCATTCATTTTCCTCTCTCAGCACCGTTGGAGAAGTCTCAATATGTTTTCTTCGCCTTTACTGTATCTCATCTTAACCAGCTTGTTTCATTAAAAATTGGTACTTCCAGGTTTCTACATGTGTCTATTGCTCTGAATGTTGCCAAAGTGGTTAAGGTTAGAGTTTTATCTACAATAATTACCCAAATTTGAGTATCGCTCCAAAGGGATGGGATGTGGGTTATGTATGGGATCATTCATCCTTTGCTTCTCTGCCTTTTCTGTCTTCAAGAATGTTGCGTTAGTGGTTCTGCAGTCTGGCTTCACTTTCGGCTGCCTTCTTATTAGTTGAAAGCTGGACCGAAGAAGTTCTGATCACACGGAAACTCCCCAGCTGCTAGTATGACACACACACGCTCAAATTATTGACTTAAAATAGCAAAATTAGAAATTCTTTTAGTTTAAGAATCTCATGCAGAATGTTATTTAGGAACTATTAATATATTTGTGGTTTAAAAAATAACAGAACTAAAAGGAAGAAAATTTGTGCTTGTGGATAGCACACTACCCACTTGATTGTAGGGGACCCGAGCCTGTCAGGGCGATGTTCTCAGTCCTGACAGCTCTCCTCTCCTAGATACTTTAGTAGCCTTCTCAGTTTCTAGAAATGGGTTTTCTACTGTGGTGACCTCTAATGGTGACCAGATGACGGGGAGTCAGGGAGGAGCCTGCGGGTGTCTCTCGTGGAGGCAGTGATGCCAGCAAAGGCTGTGTGAAAATGTGTCTACTCTTTCCATAAATCAAAACTAACAGTTCACTTGAAAAGATCTACCAAGCATTAAGAGCTTTAGACTTCATTTTATTTTAACATTACTAGGAATAGGAGGTTTGGTTCTACTCAGCCTGGGGAAAAATGTCTGATAAGCTTTTCTGGGAACCCTGTATTGTGAGCACACGCAAGATGTGTAAAGGGATATTGTCTTATTTTTCTGCTTTAAATCAGAGGTGATTCCCTAGATAGCTGTAGAACTTCTTCTTGCCCCAGTTCTAGGATTCTGTGCAGAATTGAGTCTTTTTGTGACATTTAGAGTCAGAATCTTGAGAGGCTTTTGTCCTCCTTCTGGCCTCTCCGGTCTTTGATGATTATTAGGTGTTCCCTCTTTAAACTTCAGGGATGTTAGAAACAAAACAAGACACAACAAAATGTTCTCTGTAGGCCTCATTGGTCTCTTTAGGTTCTCACTGGCCTGATTTGGGAGAAAGGTGATTTAATTCAGAGCCAGCTACCTTTAAGATTGGTGGAACAACATCTTATCGTATAACATGTTCCAAAGGGGAGTCCCGGGTCGGGGTGGGGGGTGGGGGTGGGTGTTGGCACCAGGACAGCTTGAGATCCCAGGCACTATGCTGCTCTCACACGGATGCTCCAGCAAATGGGCTATTGCTTTTGTCTCCTCCTGCCGTCTTCTCAGGCTGCCTCTGTCTTTTTTTCCCTCAAAGGCGATGTATGATTTATTTGTCTTTGCTTTTTAAGTGAAGTCCCATTATACTTAACTACTACATGCCATATACAGCTGAGTCTATGAATAAGCACAATTAAGAGACAAAAAAAGTGTTTGGTCAATTTGAAAATTCTTTATACACTTTTATGAATATAGATAAGCTAGTCAAATGTTAACTGATATTTAATTTATTAATACAGGTACTCATCTACATTTAAAATGACATAACGAAAATAATATATTAATATAGAAATATTACTTTTTTCCACTCCCAGTTTCCCAAAACAATTTTATTCAAACTCTTTATATGTAATTTTTTTTATGACTTCTGCTTAAGTGACAACACAGCTTCCCAGAGCTCACCATTCTCCCTTCTAAGTTGTTTGAAAAATAGCACTTTTGAATGCCTGTGTAAATGGAATCACAAGAACCACTGTGCCAAGCCACAAACTGGCTAACATTAGGTAGTTGGTTTTTCATTGTCATGTTGATAAGTATTTGTGATCTCCCAATGTAACCACTTGCTATATTGCTTTTAAAAGTTATTTTTAAAGGCTTGTTGGTTTATTTTTAACTACATTCAATAGTTGCAGATATAAATCTTAACCTACAGGAACAAATGACTAAATCCGGGTTAAATTTCTTTTGTTTCCTTTTTTACCAATTGCACACTGACATCTCTAACTACCCTAAACAAGCATGGATTGAGGTTGTTTTAAGGCTTTTGTGCCTTTCTCCCAAAGCACTTTGAAGTTCAAAATAAAATAATTGAGAAAACGCCTTGTTAGTTGTGAGATTTTGTAAGGAATCTAAGGAAAGACAACCCGTTTTTTAAGGGATGGCCGCTGGGAGGTAGAAGAAAACGTTTGCCTTACAAAGGGCATTTGCATTGTAACAAAGTGAGTCTATCACCAGAGATAGGAGGTCTACAAGAATTCTACTTTTTTATTTAAAGTGTCCATTTAATTTGCCTAATATGTGGAAGTACTTGTTAATCCGTTTCCTTCTCTTACTTTCTACTTACAGTTGAGTTTGATAAACCAGTGGGAAGAAATGTGGAGAAGGCCTCTCTGCAACTTGCTGTTGTTTTCTCATACGGGTTCACTCAAAAATCCCCTTTAAAAAGAGACAAAAGAGGATTATGTCTGCTGAGCAAACCCTTTCAAATCTAGCACTTTGGACAGAGAAAAAAATTGGATCGCAGTAAAACCGTTGTAATTGTTAAAAATATCCGTGAATAATGAAACCCCTGTGGTGGGCTTGTCGGGTTGCATGAGCCAGTTTTCTATATGATGTTTTGGAGTGACCTGGATCATTTCTTGATTCGGTCCTCATCATCACTGTCATCATCATTTTCATCATTACTATCATTCGCTGATCACTTATGGCGCCAAGGACTGCGCTCGTTGATGGTCACAAATCATATCTCCTGGCTGCACACTTTCATTCCAGCTGGCCTGTGGCAGGAAGCTTTGGAGAGGAAAAGGGTTGGTGTGCAATAACAGTCTTGCCCACCTCTAGCTTGTTTTCAGCCCCATGTCAATCTTTATAATATCAAAACCCATAAATTCATGAAGCGAACTAGCCTTATGCAAATGACAAAGTAAGACGAAGGATTCTCCAGTTCCCCTTGCTGTTGCCTGGCCTGCAGACCTATTTCCCCTTAACTTACCTCCCTGCCCACTAACTCTTGCTTTCTTTTGGGATTCTCTTCCCTGTAAGGCTAATCTGTATAAACTTGAAATTTTGAAGATTTGGCCTTGAAACCTGGGTTTCCCACTTAAGAACTGTGTTATCTTGAGCAAATCACTTAAGTTTTCTTATCTATGTTACAAGTGGTTGTGTGTGAATTGAGAGACAATGACTGTTGCTGAGGCTAGAGTGTGATTTTGGTCCCAGGTGTCATTTGCATTTTAATGCAGCATTTAATCTGAAGGAGTGTTGGATGTGGGGATTTGAGTGAGAGAAGCCTTATGAGGGAGACAGGGTGTCTGTTTGGGGGCTGGAGCTGGGTACAGGGCTGCCAGCACCCCTAGAGTAAATTGTGATGGGGAGGTAGTTATTGTCATCCATCCACATCTGCCCTGTCTTCCTCATTCTCAGATTAGGACCATAGACTCTGAAAGCTCAGATTTTAGAGGTCTTCTAGGCCCAAGTGACGTAACTTAGGCCCCGAGAGGCAAAGGGTCTTGCCCGAGAGTACGTAGCTCACCAGCATCAGAGCTGGGGCAAGAGCCAGATGTCCTCTCTCCCAGGAGTGGAATTGATAGTTAAAGACCAGGATTGCGAGCGTCCATGTTTAGTCTGAAGGAGGTATGTTAAATTCCATTTCTTCCTCAGAGTTCCTAATGGAAGCTTTTAGATACCTTATGCTTGCTTTTTTGTGAATCCTCTGGGTGAAATGATTTCACAAGAGCCTTAAAAAGGGAGTCAGGGGGGCTGGCCTGGTGGTGCAGTGGTTAAATCCGTGCGCTCCACTTCAGCAGCCCTGGGTTCACAGGTTCAGATCCCTGGCACGGACCCAGCACCACTCGTCAAGCCATGCTGTGGCAGCATCCCTCATAAACTAGAGGAAGATTGGCACAGAGGTTAGCTCAGCAACAATCTTCCTCAAGCGAAAAGAGGAAGATTGGTAACAGATGTTAGCTCAGGGCCAATCTTCCTCACACACACAAAAAAATGGAGTCAGTCTTCTGGCCTCAACACTCCCCACTGAAGGCTGGTTAGGACTGTGCTGGGATGGAGATAGTCTCTTGGGCCTGAGGCCCTGCGTGCAGTCCTTCCAGATATTTGAGGAAGTGTGGGGAGCCCTGTGACGAATTCAGTGGGCGTCCAAAGTTGTACACTGGCTTTCATATGCAGACTCTTGTCTGAGATCCTGACCGTTTCTATGATGAAAGGTTTCAAGCATGCAGTAAAGCATTAAAAAACTGTAATGAACACTGTTACTCATTGCAGCTCCTCTAATCTTTATTTTTCCTTTTACACCACTTTTAAAAGGAATAAAACAATACAGGTTCAGTGGAAGTGCCCTGAGTACTCCTTCCGCTTCCTTCTTCCCTTGAGGAAACCACTACTCTGAATTCGGCATTCATCACTTTTTTGCATATTTTGTACTTGACATATGTATCCATAAACGTATGCTCTTATCCATAAATAGTACATAGTCAAGTTTTGCATGCTTTTGTAGTTTATATAAATAGCATCGACAGTACGGTTCCCATATCTTGATGATTTTGTTCAACATCATGTTTGGGGATTTATTCATGTTGAAAAATGTAGTCCGTAATATTTCAACTGCTGTAATTTACATTGTATGGATATGCCACTGCATATTTATCCGTCTTTCTGTTGCTCACCTGTCTCATCATCTGCACATTGTGCTTTAATCTTTCCTCCATCACTGTGTGACTCCTTCGGGGTTACGCAGCAAACCACACCTCACTGTTAGAACAGGAGAATACAGGTCATGATGCAGAATCTAAAGGCGAGCACGTAGGGTTTTGAATGGTAATAATGTGGAATTCTGTTCCGGATAATGTGAGGGCCACCTCTAAGCTTCGTGAAAGAAAATTTGTTTTTGTAATGCTAGGTTTCCTTTCCTCCTGAAGCGTATTCAAAGCAGACCTCTGAGTGACTTTAAGGTTGTATTTTTAAGGGATTTTTTTTCTTAAACAAACCATTTCTCTCTCTTGTTCTTGTTTTCTTCTTTCTACTTGTGAAGGGGGCCCA